TGTTTGCATGTAGCAATGAACTTATAGTGGTTAAAAAATACAACTCCCCCTCCCCAATCATATTTTGTAAAAATAAAAGTCTATATAGTTACTCATATTTTTCTATGGGCTCACTTTTCTGAGACTAAATTTCTTGCTTAAAAAAGAGTGCAAAGCATTCATAGGCCTCCACTGCAGATTTTAAGGAAGAATCATGAAAGGATAAAGGAAATGAGATCTAGCTCTCGATGTAGATCTTCAAGAAGATGAGCTTGTAAAATTTTCTCCACACCCAGGGACCTACTTTTTAAATAGGTATCTGTGAATTGAGAGCCAGAAAGTGGGTTTAAAAAGTCAGCTTAGTGGTTAGTTATAACCGTTTTGAAAATGCTGTATAGAACAGCCTATTGCATGTAAATATTTTGTGAAATTTCTCTACGTAAACATTAAAAAATTTCCCCTATACACATATTCTGTGAGTTAAATAGACTGTTCTGAGAACTTTCCCTCAGACTTTGTTTACCTTGTAGCAAGGACCATTTTCTAAGGAAAAAGTGAGGGGATTTGTGATGCAGAACTCCTTCCTCTTCTGAGAACCCTACTCCGGCCGGGGAGGGCTGCCAGACCAGGGACCTTTCTCCATGCTTCACAGGATGCGACTCACAGTTTGTAACTCATAGATGTGTACAAAGATATTTTAAGAGTACTCGCAGCTTACAGCAAATGTCTTCTAAGCTTCTGACAGCAGCGTACAGCAAGAAATGTATTTTATATCCAGGTCTGATGGGTTTCCAATGTTGACTTAGAAGAAAAGGTGAAGCTTTTATTCTTAGAGAAATGGGCTTGTTTCCTTCTTTCAGCCTCCTCACTGGTAGTAGCAACAATAATGATTATAATTTCACCATGTTCTGAGCATGTACGGTTTGGAAAGCTCTTTGTATATATTATTCCCAAACAATAGACTATAACCAATCAGTGTTGCCACTTACAGATGAGGAGACAGATTTAGGATGGAGAGGTGCCCTACTCAAGCGTTCCTGGTCTCTTCTGTGTTGGTCTAATAGAATGCCCAAGACTGGTAGTTTATTAAAAATGAACCAACCACGTTTATATTGGCTTATGTTTTTGGAGTCTGGGAAGTTCTAGAACGGGCAGCAGCATCTATTTAGAGCCCTGTGCCTCTTCAGCTCATGGTGGAAAATGAAAGGCCAAGGACACATGAGAAAAACAGGAAAGGGGACAAATTCTTGTGCGTCAAAACTCCTGATTCCTGCAAAATGGCATTAGTCCGTTCATGAGGACTGCAGCCCTATGGCACAGATAGCGTTCACCGGACCCCACCTCCTACTAGGCCACACCTCTCAACATTGCCACTTTCGGGAAAAGACTCAACATGAGCTTTGGTGAATTCAAATCATAGCACCGACATAGCAATAGGACTAAAATCCTGGTCATAACTTCATTCCAAAAGTTCACTCTTTCTGGCATATTAGTGACATTTAGACTTCTTTGGACATAAGAATCATCACTGTGCTTGATTAGTACATTAATTCCTACCTTGACTGAATTTGAATCTTCAGAGTAGGGATGGGAAGCTGTAGATTTGATAGTCTTCTCAGGATAGCTTATGATCAAGCTGTTTTAGGAAAGTCAATGGTAATCAGAGGCTCTCAAACTGACTGTACCGGAATCACCTGCAGGGCTGGTTAAAACACAGATTACTGGACCCACAGCCTGAATTTCTCATTGATTAGGTGTGTGGTGAGTGCCAGTGATTGCTTATTTATTTTAAAATAATTTTTATTCTGAACTTTTTTTGTATTTCATACATGAAGTCCTCTCTAACCCTTCTCCCCCTTCCCCTCCGGTACCCTTCTATTGCCCCCCTGCCCCCCACTGGAGTTGCATAAGACCCGTGCAGACTCAGGCAGACAAAAACCCAGCACAGAACTGTGGAAATGAACAGCAAGCCCCAATCTTAGTTGAATTATTGGCAGCTGACTACTGCGGGGTGAGGAAGAGCAGATCTTCTTGAAGAGAGAGACTCTAGACAGGCTGACTAGACCCTGGCAGATGAACTTGCACTAGGGGACATCTTGGACATCTCAGGACACTAACTTTACATAATAGGCCTTAATACAAATGACAGAATATGTGATTTGCACTTTTAACAAGTGGATATGAGATACTTAAGATGCTGGTTAGGGAACACCCAGTGGGAACTGATGGAACATCCCATGGTGGGATTTGAGTCTCACTTCCTCAGGACAGGGTTTGGGGCCACTTTTAGCTCTTGGCAAGATTTTCTTACTCAGTGAAAACTCATTTTTTACCTACTATATTTAAATCTTTGGGAAACAGAAAATGAGTGTTGCTCTCGCCCAGGCCCTGCACTGTTATTTACTGTGAGAGACAGGATGGAGTATATTCTATAGTGAAAGAACAGATCCACTACAGCAGGAGGACTAGGGAGGCAACATGAATTTTGACTGGAAAAAGGGAGACTGTAAAGGTCTTAGGGCAGTGTTGAGGTCTTGAGTCCTTGCCCTTCCCGTTTTCCCCGGTATCACTCTATTAGTAATCCCAGTATCTCGGCCACTTTTGCATATTGTATTGACTGGTAGATTGGAGAAATGAAGTAGGATTAGTAAGGCAGATGGTCCCGAAGGTGTAGAGGACCCTGTCTTCCATGCGTTGGAGCATGGGTTGTATTGTACGTTTGGTCACTGAAGTATTTGGAGAGGAGGTGATTGACACTAACTCTGCTAAGGATATATAGCATGAATTGGAGGGGGGAGTGTCTGGAGGTAAAGGACCAGCAAAGATGATGTCACAGGACTCAGATGAGAGAAGATGCAGTAGAAAGAAATAAAGGAGCATGGCAAATGTAGAAAGGAATTTCCAAGTGACTCCTCTACATCACAGGTGAGCAGGCTGCTGACCATGGATGGCTTTTCACAGCCTTTGGACCAAGGAAACATCCATCTGTGCTTTAGGAACATGAGAGACGATAGTGTGGAAATGACGTTTACTACCGTATTTTTGGCTTTTAGTCAAAGGAAAGAACAGCAGTACCTCAGGGTGCTTCTTAGGTCGCCTTACCTCTGACTACTGCCACTGTTCCCCCATATTCTGATGTTAGAACTATTTTATTCACCTTGATGTATTTACACTCTAGGCTTATTCTCTCAAACCCGACTCTGTTCTTTTCTGGATCTCTTAGTCAAGGTTCAGCTGCAGAAAACAGAAATACCTTCAGGTATTTGAAACAAAAAGTTTGAACAATGGAAGTTTAGCAGAAGGGTGGAGAAAAATGGTCATTCACCTGGGAGGACTCGCAAAAATACCCATACAGCACAGGGAACTGGCCTCTGAGGGAGTGGCTCTTTCTGGCAGTCAGGAGGACTGGAGAAAGGGAAGCCAATTCTGGTAACATATTCCCTTAGCTACAGAAGAACTCTGCATGTCTTGACTTCTGCCTTCTAAGTGGTGTATAAGTTTACCTGGAAAGTTTACCTGGAGAGTGGTCCACATAGCATCCAGAACAGCGGCTGCAGGTACTGCCCCATACTCGTCATCATGAGGAGGTTGGAGAAAGAGGTTGGAGTGGGTATGGAGTCACAGTGCTACTCACCTTGCTGGAGGTGATTTTAACTTCTCTTTGATTTTTGGCTAGATGAGATAGGAAGCTTATTCTTGTGACTCTACTTAGACAAAGCCTTATCTTCTTCAGCTACCTCTGGGCTAGTTTCTTCCTGAAGAGCTGTTAAGATGGGCTTTGAGAGCTTCAGTGTATTATTAAATGACTGTTCAGTTGGGTTTCTTTATGCTTAGCCTTAATAGTTGTTAACTAACAGAATTACTTTCAGTTTCTATGATGGATTATCAAAAAGTCAGATGAACCAGCATCTGAATACTTCCATGTGCTACTGATAGAGCAGCAATCTGAATTGACATGCTTTATATTAATTTTATATTTATTTTACTGTATTTTAAACAAGAAGTCTATAAGTCATTCATAATTGATATAGCCTGCTTTCAGACATTAAGTTTTTTTTAAAATCTTTTTGAGACAGGGTCTCCCTGTAGCCCCAGCTGTCCTGTAACTCACTATGTAGACCAGGCTGGCCTTGAACTCACAGAGATCCCCCTGCCTCTGCCTCCCAAGTGCTGGGA